GTACTCAATTTATGGACCTTGGTCTCCAAGGGGATTTTGTGAAGTTGACCCCAGTGTCAAGAGAAGTAAAAGCAAAAATAAGTGAATGGGACTACATCAAAATAAATTTTCTACAAAACAAAAGAAACCAACAACAAAACAAAAGGGCAGCCAACCAAATGGGAGAAGATATTTGCAAATAATACCCCTGATAAGGAGCTAATATTCAAAATATATAAAGAACTCCTACAACTCAATGAAAAACAAACAATCTGATTAAAAAAATGGACAGAAGACCTGAATAGACACTTTTCCAAGGAAGACATACAGATGGCCAACAGATATATGAAAACATGCTCAACATCATTAGCATGTAAGGGAAATGCAAATAAAAGCCACAATGAGATGCCACCTCACACCTGTTAGAATGGCTATTATCAGTAATACAAGAAATGACAGGCAATGGAGATGACGAAGAGAAAAGGAAACCCTCACAAAAGAAAACAGTATGAAGGTGCCTCAAAAATTAAGAAGAGAGCTACCAAATTACCCAGCAATCCCTCTTCTGGTTATCCACCTGAAATATTTGAAAACACTTATTCATAAAGACATATGCACTCCTATGTTTATTGCAATATTATTTACAATAGCCAAAACATGAAAACAACTTAAGTGTCCTTTGACAGATGATTGGATAAAGATGTGGTACATCTATGCAATGGAGTACTAATCAGCCACAAAAAGATGAAATATTGTCATTTGTGACAACATGGGTGTATCTTGAGAGTATCACGTTAAGTGAAGTAAGTCAAACAGAAAAGGACAAGAACCATATGATTTCACTCATGTAGGATATAAAACAAAATCAACAGATAAAAAACAAAACAAGAAAACAAAGTCATAGATACAAATATCAAAATAATTTTACCAGAGAGAAAGAAGGGTGGAGGGAGGACAAATAGGGTAAAGGGGGTCAAATATATGGTAATGGAGGGAAATGAGACTTTGGGTGGTGAGCACACAGTGGAGTATACGATAGAGTTGTATACTTAAAATTTATATAATTGTAGTCTATATAAATATAAATTTTTATTATTAACCAATCTCACCCAATACGTTTTTAAAAAGATACAGAAGTGGTGGAGGTTAAAATATTAGAGAAGTAAATTGACTTTGCTCCAAATCAGTTTGGTAGTGATTTAGATGTGATGAAAATGATTTCCAACTACAAGGCCAATATATTCTTTCCATTCTTTCCATTCTCTCCACTGCCTTATTTTATCATGTTCCTGACTATTTTACAGGTTTTTGCTATTTTCACAAGTAGTTTCGTGTTTCAGTTTTAGTTGGCAAAGGTAAAGTATGATTGCTGCCTAGTGCCATGACAATATACCCCATTGATTCATTCATTCAATAAATATTCATTCAGTAGCTTCTGTTACATTAGACCCTGTTTTAGGGTCCAAGGATATAGCAGTGAACAGACTGCGCAATAATTCTCCTTGTTGTGGAGGATTTTAGTAGAGAACATGAAAAACTATAAAAGTAAAGTCTGCACTAATTAAGGTGTTGAAAAATGTTGTGGAGAAAAATGAAGCAGGCCAGGCAAATAGGAAGTGCAGGAGTTAGGGTGTAGGTGGAGTACCTGGTGATTCAATTTTTTTAAATATTTTTTATAATAATATTTTTATTGTATATTTGCCGTTACCATATATCCCCCTTATATTGTCCTCCCCCTCCACACACTGTTGTCCATATCCAAGAATCCCTTTTCTTTTTTGCTCAATCCCTCCATCACCTAAACATCCTCCCTCCCCAGAGCTGTCAGCCTGCTCTCTATGAATGAGTTTGTCTCTATTTTGCTTGTTAGTTTAGTCTGTTCATTGGATTCCACATGTAAGTGAAATCATGTGCTATTTGTCTTTCTCTGACTTGCTTATTTCACGCAGCATAATGTTCTCCATGTCTCTCCATGCTGTTGCAAGAGGTAAAATTTTCTTCTTTTTTTATGGCTGAGTGGTATTCCATTGCATAAATGTAATTTGTTGGATTAAATAAAATATATTATTAAAATTATTTTAACAATTTTTAAGTATTTACTTTTTAATTTTTAATGTAGAAGAACTTCTAATGTAAAAAATTAAATTAAAAATTATAAGTATGTGTCTTACACTTTCTGTTAGGCAGTGCTGATCTGTATATAATATATATGAAGTGTGATACTTACTCATTATATTAGCACAATTCAATGCTAAAGTTGTGAATAGTTTTGTTTTTATGAAACTGTCTAATAAGATTTAATTATTTTTAAAAAGTGAATTTAAAAATTCAATTTTATTTAAATAATTTTTATTAAAATTTCTATATGTATTAATGTAGAATTTGTATTTAACTTAATTTTAAAATGTAGTTTTGAATATTTTAGAAGAAAATAACTTTTTGTAAAGTTATATGTAAAATAATTTTAATTTTTATATTTATATTAATTTTTATGAAAATATATTCAAATATTTGCTCTTTTAATAGTTACAATTAATTTTTAGTTCCTTAGCTCTTTACTGCCAGTAGAGCACAAAGTATGTAAAAATCTTAACTAGAACAATGTAATAAGTGATCTTTTTAAATAAATTCATGAAATGAATCAACTTACAAGTAATATAAATTATATACTTTATATTATTACTCTTCTAAACATTGCTGGCCCATCAAAAAGATGCTTAAAATGTACAGTAATAATTAAATTCAAATGTCTTCTATATTTGCCAACTCACAGTAGCAAACAGCCTTAGCTTTAAACATGTATTTCGACTTTGTTATCATGGACATGCTATTGCTGCAGTAGGAGAGGAGGGCATACTGCATTTTACAGCTTGTTAACCTGACCTGTAACTTTTAAGTATTTAGTCATAAGGTATGTAGGCCTCTATTTATACTCTTGCCCCAGAGCTAACAAATGTTAGGGGTGGACCTTTTCTGTCCATGAAGGGACCCAGAGTAACCAGAAAAGTCCTGAGTGAAGCAGGGTATTCTCTGTGGAACGGTGTCACATGGAGCTTTCATAATGACTGGGGATCCTTCAGAGCTGACAACATTCACATGTCCCTCTCAAGGTCTATGTGACCCAAAAGAGTCTCCAGCCTAACGCACCTGCATGTTTACTCCTGAGTCTGGATTGAAAGGGATGGAGATAGGAATTGAGTTGGGAACAGAATGAACCTGACAATGTCCTTGCATGTCTGTCTTAGTACATCTGCCCTTTTCAGAGCGAGTTAAATAGCCTAGTTGAAAATTGCTGAGACAGGTTTAAGCAAACTCAAAGCTTCTGCAACATATGTAATATAATAGCTGTGGTGCCAACTCTTGGTAGAAACTGGGTCAAAGGGTGGAGTAGGTGGAAGTGACGATTTCAAATGGTACACTCAGTCACCTGCCAACTAAACTAGCACTGAGGACTACAGCAATTAGAGAACTGAAGGGCAAGTTGTGAGCTGAGTTTTTTCTTAAGCTTGATTCACATATTATTCTAACAGTACATGAAAAAGGGACAAAAACAAAACATATCAATCCAATATGGATAAATACTGTGAATTATACCTATCCATGGACAAGTTTTACTCAAGTCTGGAAGTTAATGGCTCTTTCTGGTGACAGAAACTGTAGCACTATATAAATGATCATTCTCTCAGAAGTAAAAATGAATTCAGAAACAAAAGTCCAGAGTTCTGGTCTTAGTGTTGCTGTTTTCCAGACACATAACCCAGGGCAAGTCACCTAAGTGTTCTAAACTACAATCTCCTGCCTGAAAAATGATGAAAAAAAATTGTGCTGCCTATCTCATAAACTGATATGAGGATCAAATGAGACCATTTAAGTGAAAGCACTTTAAAAATTGTAAAGTTACTGACAAATATAAAACTACCATTTTTTGTTTTACTGTTGATATTCCATCAGGAAGTTAGGGCTGATTACTATTATTACTATAACCATATCGATATGGGTTTACTTGATGCAATTATATAAGAAGATATACAGGAATGATCAAAAGTAGGTTTACAGTTATAATACAAATAAGTAACATAATGATTAATAAACAATAATATAAGAATAAACTGTTTCATGTACTCACCACTGTAAATCTACTTTTAACCACCCCTGTGCTTTCCCAAATGACTACAGTTCAGATTTCTAAATAACCAACTATTAAATATTAAAGTACTATTCAAGAGAGAAAATCTTAACCTAATTAATTTCCCTCACTAGTATGAGTGCTGTATATTCCCCACCTTGAATTCCTATTTCTCTTTCCCTCTTCTTCTATTTTAAAAAATCCGATGACTTATTTTCTATAGGACACCTATATTGTCAAAATAATCATTGCCATTTTACCAGTGCTTGCTTTTCTCCCATCTGTCTCTGCTTCCTGCACTCATCTACAGAGTTAATAAGGATGGAGCTTCTTATTTTTTTTCATGTTGACTGTTTTTAGAGGAAAGGGATATTGCAGCTCTTCTTCACCTCTGAAGCATCTGTGGGTTCCATTCCGACAGAACTAGCCTGGCTGCTGGACACTCCCTGTGCAACCTTGTTCTACCAGACAAAGCAGGGAGTGAGGCTCTGACAGATGCCGCAGTCACTATCCTGGGTGTCCATGGTGCGAGCGGAACTCTAATCAGACCTGTGTGCACACATGGTTGTGCAAGAGGCTGTGGGTGGGTGACTTCATCCCCAGAGGAACACCTCACCACATCTGCGTGCTCTGAGTGACTGAAAATCTTAAGAAGCTTAAAAGTATTTTTTAAAAACAATATTAAAATGTTAGAACATTGCTCCTATCGCTAAAAAGTGCACATTTAATAATATAAGTAGGAAGTTTCCAGACCTAAAATATTACAATAAAATGTTTAAATTTTTTTTCTTAACTGAAGAAAGGCCTTGAGCTACTTTACATATTCACATAACAAGTTAATTCAGGCCCCTCAAGGGAGACACAAGTAAAAGAGAGTTTTACATAGGGTAATATAATACTTACCTGGCAGGGAAGATGCCATGACCATGAAGGTGGTTTGCCCAGGGCGAGGCTCACCCATTGCCCTCCAGATGTGCTTCCCTGTGATTTCCCCAAATTTCAGAAACTTGACTGCATAATTTGTGGTAGCGAAAGACAGTTTTTGTACTTTCCTGAGGGGAGGAGACAAAATAAGATAATAGAAAAAGACCTTAACCATTCAATGTCTTATATTTAATCTGCAGAAATTATTTTAGAATTTCAGAATACTGCTTATTATGTTTATTATCATAGCTCTTTGTTTTAATTGTTATACATGTTCTCTACGCTTTTTAAAAAATTATTTATTCCACATAAGTGGCTAGTCCCTTAGCATTTCCTTGCCTCAGAGGCAAAATGTGGCAAAATCCCTAAAGGAGCTGACTTCTTTCAGGGGGCAGTCAGAAAGCTGAACCCTCAAAACAGATACTATCAGCCTTACTGATGATTCCAGGAACCTAGATGTGGACCAAAGCAGGAAATCTACTGGAAATGTAACCAGTTGAGCACATGATTGATGACTGAAGCCCCCTCAAAGTCTTAGTGATACACAAGACACATGGTAGAGCCTTGGGTAGGTGGAACCCCAATTATTACTGAAGTTCCCACCAGCCTATAAGAATGGGGCATAGTCATGGATTTCAAGTGATTCATAGATTATAAGCAAATACGATAAATTTGTGAACTGAGCTTCTGTTGTGGATTTTACCATATACATTCACAAACTGCACAAGGAATTAGAATTCATGATTAATTCTTAGTTTGAACAAGAGTTGTTGCTGTGCTGATGATCTTAGAATAGTTAGGCTCACAGATATGTAACATCCACCTTCACTTTTTCTTCCTTCTCTTTTAATTGTGAAAATCAATAAAGGAATTATAAAGGCTAAACTTTATTTAGAAAAAGCCCTACAATTCCATCATGTAAAATAACAACTATTTTTTAAATATTTTATTGCTGTTCTATTACAGTTGTCTCAGTTTTTCCCCCTTTGCCCTCCTCCACCCAGTCCATCCCCGGTTCCCACAGTCAGTCCCCGCACTCTTGCCCATGTCCATGGGTCATTCATACATGCTCTTTGACTAGTCCTGTCACCTTCTTTCCACCATTAACCCCTCCACTCTCCCTTCTGGTTGCTGTCAGTCCGTTCCATGTTTCCATGCCTCTAGTTCTATTGTGCACAGTTGTTTTTGTTCATTAGGTTCCTCTTATAGGTGAGATCATATGGTATTTCTCTTTCATCAGCAAGCTTATTTCCCTTAGCATAATATTCTCCAGTTCTATACATTCTGTCACAAAAGGCAGGAGTTCCTTCTCTCTGCTGCATAGTATTCCATTGTGTAAATGTACCACAGCTTTTTCATCTATTCCTTTATTGATGGGCACTAGGGTTACTTCCAGCATTTGGCTATTGTAAATAACACTGCTATGAACATTGGGATACATAGGTTCTTTTGAATTGGTGTTTTGGGATTCTTAGAGTATAATCGCAGCCGTGGAATTGCAGAGTCAAAAGGCAGTTCTATTTTTAGTTTTTTGAGGAAAACTCCATACTGTTTTCCTCAGTGGCTACATCAGTCTGCATTCCCACCAACAGTGTACTAGGGTTCCTTTTTCTCCACAACCTCGCCAGCACTTGTTGTTTGTTGATTTGTTAATGATGGCCATTCTGACCTGTGTAAGGTGGTATCTTGCTGCAGTTTTACTTTGTATCTCTTTGATGACTAGTGATGTTGACCATCCTTGCATATGTCTCTGGGCCCTCTGTATGCCCTCCTTGGAGAAGTGTCTGTTCAGGTCCTTTGCCCATTTTTTAATTGGATTGTTTGTCTTCCTGGTGTTGAGTCGTATGAGTTTTTTCTTTATTTTGGAGATCAAACTCTTGTTCAAGGTATCATTGAAAATATCTTTAAACATATGGCCAGTTCCCTTCTCATTCTGATGACGTTTTCTTTAGCCATGCCGAAGTTTTTAATTTGATGCTGTCCAATTTGTTTGTTCTTTCTTTATTTCCCTTGCCTTGGAGGCTATATCAGAGAAAATATTGCTGCATGGGACATCTGAAATTTTACCTGCTATGTTTTCCGCTAGGACTTTTATGGTATAACAGCTTGTGTTTAAATCGTTTATCCATTTTGAGTTTATTCTGGTGTATGGTGTAAGTTGGTGTTCTAGTTTCTTATTTTTTCTTTCTTTCTTTTTTTTTTTTTTTTTTTTTGCCTGTAACAGTCCAGTTCTCCCAAAACTGTTTATTAAATAGGCTATTTTAACTCCATTGTATTCATGTCCTCTTTGTCAAATGTTAATTGACCATAGAGACATGGGTTTATTTCTGGGCTCTCTATTTGGTTCCATTGACCTATGTGTCTGTTCTTATGCCAGTACCAGCCTGTTTTGAATATAGTGGCCTTGTAGTAAAGTTTGATATCAGTTATTGTGATCCCCCTACTATCTGGGGTCTTTTTGGCTCCATAGAAATTTTTGAAATATTCATTCTAGATCTGTGAAAGATGTCATTGGTATTTTAACAGGAATTGCATTGAATCTATAGATCACTTTGGGTAGTATGGACATTTTAATAATGTTAATTCTTCCAATCCATAAACACGATATATGCTTCTGTTTATCTGTATCTTCCTCAATTTCTTTCTTCAGTGTTCTGTCGTTTTCTGAGTACTGGTCTTTTACCTGTTTGGTGAAATTTATTCCTAGGTACTTTATTTTTCTTGTTGCTGTAGTAAATGGGATTTTTAGTTTCCTAGTTTCCCTTTCTGATAGCTCATTGCTGATGTACAAAAATGCCACCAATTTCTGAATATTGACTTTCATCCTGTTATTTTGCCAAATTAACTTACAGGTGAAGTAGTTTTTTGGTGGAGACTATAGGGTGTTCTGTGTATACTATCATGCCATATGCAAATAATGACAGTTTTACTTTCTCCTCTCTGCTTTGGATGCCTTTTATGTCTTTTTCTTGTCTCATCACTGCAGATAGAACTTCCAGTGCTATGTTTAATAGGCATGGTGAAAGCAAACACCTTTGTCTTGTTCCTGATCTGAAGGGGAAAGCTTTCAGCTTTTGCTTGTTGAGTATGATAGTGGCTGTAGGTTTCTCATACATGGCCTTTATTATGTTGAGGTGTGCTCCCTCTATTCCCACTTTGCTGAGTGTGTCTGTCATAAATGGGTGCTGTACTTTATCAAATGCTTTTTCAGCATCTATTGATATGATCATGTGATTTTCATCTTTCATTATGTTTATGTGGTGTCTTACATTTATTGTTTTGAGAATATTACACAATCCTTGCATCCCTGGGATGAATCCCACTTGATCATGGCATATGATCTTCTTTAATGTATTGCTGGGACTGGGTTGCCAATATTTTGTTGAGGATTTTAGCATGTATGTTCATTACAGATATTCACCTTCAATTTTCTTTGTTTTGTCTTTACCTGGTTTATGGATTAGGATAATACTAGCCTCAAAATAAAGATTTTGAGAGTCTTCCCTTTTCTTGAATTTTTTGGAATATTTTGAGAAGGATAGGAGTTAGTTCTTTAAATGTTGGTTAAATTTGCCTTTGAAGCCATCTGGTTCAGGCCTATTGGGTGCTGGGAGTTTTTGGTTACTGCTTCAATTTCACTAGTTGTTATCAGTCTATTCAGGCTTCCTGCTTCTTCTTGATTTAGTTTTGGAAGGTAATTATTTTCCAGAAATTTGTCCAATTCACCCAGGTTGTCCAATTTCTTGGAATCTAGTTGTTTGCAGTAATTTCTTAACAATCTTTTGTGTTTCTGTGGCATCGTTATAACTTCTCTTTCCTTTCTGCTTTCATTTATTTGAGCCCTCTCTTTTTTTCTTGCTGAGTCTGGTGAAAGATGTATAATTTTTGTTTATCTTTTCAAAGATCAGCACGTATATTTATTGATCCTTTTCATTTTTTTTTTCTTTTTTAGTCTCTAGGTCATTTAAATCTGCTCACATCTTGATTATGTCCTTCTACTCGCTCTGGGCTTTATTTGTTGCTGTTCCTCTAGCTCTTGTACGGTTAGGTCGTTCATTTGAGATTTTTCTGTCTTTTGTATGTAGGCCTTCATTACTATGACCTTCCCTCTCTGGACTGCCTTCACTATGTCCCAAAGGTTTTGGACTGTTCTGGGTTCATTTTCTTTTGTTTACAGAAACTTTCTTATTTATTCCTTGATCTCATTGTTAACCTACTCGTTATTTAATAGCATGCTATTCAGTCTCCATGTATTTGAATGTTTTTGAGTTTTTTCCCTTGAGGTTGGTTTCTAGTTTCAAGCCATTGTGATCTGAGGAGATACTTGATATATTAAAATTTTCTTGAATTTTTTGAGGCTTGTTTTGTGTACTACCATGTGGTCTATTTTTGATAATGTTCCATGTGCATTTGAAAAGAATGTATATTTTGCTTCTTTGGGGTAAAAGTTCCTGTATATACAAATTAAGTCATTTGATTTAGAATGTTGTTCAATGCCACCATCCATTTTGATCCTTTGCTTGGCAGGCCTATCAGTTGTTGACAATGAAGTGTTAAAATCCCCTACAGCGTTGCTGTTGATGTCTTTCTTGAAGTCCTCCAAGATTTTCCTTATGTATTTGGTGCCCCCAGGCTGGGTGCATATGTGTTTACAATGTTTATGTCTTCTTGATGGATTACTCCCTTAAGTATTATGTAGTGTCCTTCTTTGTCTCTTTTAATGGCCTTTGTTTTGAACTCTATTTTGTCTGATATAAGTATTGCTATTCCAGTTTTGTTTTAATCTGTTTGCTTGGGATATATTTTTTCTATTCCTTCACTTTCAGTCTGTGTATATCTTTTGTTGTGAGGCAGGTCTCCTGTACACAACATATATGAGGGTCATGTTTTCATATCCATTCAGCTACCCGATGATTTTTAATGGAGCATTTAATCCATTTACATTTAAGGTTGTTATTGATAGGTACTGATTCCTTGCCATTTTTCCCCATTTGTACCTGTCTCTCTTTTTCTTCACCTTCTTAAAGCAGTCCCTTTATTATCTCTTGCATCGTGGTTTGGTAGAGATGTATACTTTTAGCCTTTTTTTTTTTTTTTTTTTGTCTAGGAAACTATTTCACATTCTATTTTTAA